TTTCTTTCTTTCTTTCTTTCTTTCTTTCTTTCTTTCTTTCTTTCTTTCTTTCTTTCTTTCTTTTCTTTTCTTTTCTTTTCTTTTCTTTTCTTTTCTTTCTCTTGACGCAAGTCTTTCCTGGAGGAAGGGATCCATTCAAAGAATCCGGGTTCAACTCACAGACATACCCTGTGCGTAATAGGACATCTTCCTCCTCAATTTCCTACTTCAGCCAGTGGGAAAGCTAAACCCGGGAGGCGAGGGGGCCGCGTTATTTGGGGGATAGCGGGGACGAAAGAGAGGAGGAAAAAAAAAACAACAACGGCCAGGCCTCCGTTGAGGAGAGGCAAGGCTGCTCCCACCCCGGCTCACCCGAAGTCGTTAGGACGCGCCTGGCTTGGCGGGGCTGAACAGCTGCCAGGCGCGTCTCTTTCTAGCCCAGGGACCTCCCAGTGTGGCGGCTCTTCCGACCACGGAAAACGCCCTCCCACCGCGGTTCCACTTTCACTCCGTTGGAGACCCTCCAGGGCAGCAGATCAACCTCGGCCCAGGCCCCTAAGCCCCCCTGAAGGTCAGCTCGGGAGCCAGAAATCCCCTACTCGTTTGGGGGGTCTTTTCAGAAGCTGCTTCTGGCCCTCCGCGGCTCAGGAGTGGCTGGAATAAGAGCAAAGATGCCCCCTCGAGGGCATCTGTTGCCCGGCGTGCAGCTGGAGAAGCCGCAAGTGAGCCGCATCTCTCCTGCTGGGCTTGGTCCGCTTCGGGAGGGCCGCTTGGCCCCACCGGCTTCTTCTCTGGTCTCTCCCTTGAGCGCCCGAGGGGGTAGAAAGGCGGATTTCTGAAATCCGGGAATAAACAGTTGGCTTGTTCTAAGAACTCCGGCTTGGCGGGGCTGAAGAAGCGATTCCGAAAGGCTGAAGAATCTGCTGCTTCTTTCTCGCTGGAAACTATGGGCTCTGGATCCCCCCCCCCCGCAGACTCTGGCAAAGGGTGGAGGGCGGCTGGGGGAGTTGGGGGGTGGTGTCAGCCTCTCTTCGGCAGCCTGGCACCGCGGATGTCCCTGACCTTTTGGGCTCGCCATGGCGACCCGGCAGTTTCCAGGAGCTGCCGGCTTCCAAGTAACCCGATCTCGGCGTTCCGCTTACCTGTCGGAAGCCAAGGGGGAACGTTTACCACCTGGGACGGCTCGGGCGGAGCCCCGTGGAAAACCCAACGTGGGAACGGGTGGCAGCCGCGGAGATGGCTTTTTCGTTTTCTGAAAAATGCGTCCAGGACTTTTGGGGGGTGGGGGGAAATAAAGGAAAAGAAATTGGGGAAACGGTTTGATTTTAACACGGTTAAGCAGGGACGAACCTGCCTTGAAAGGAAGATGTCCCAGGGAACGCTAAACCACGTTCCTTAAGATTTGGGGAATTTACAATCCCTGTTATGGGAAGCCCCCTCTCGTCCCGTCGATGCTCCCGCTTCTTAGATGGCAGATTCGATAAATGTCGCATTTTCCACCGCACAATATCTAACAACAAAACGTTTCGAAGTTTTGGATTCTCTTGGGAAAAGGATTCTTGCCACTTAATATCAAGAATCGACTCCCCAGAAGGCCTTTTTTGACTGGCTTCCAAATAACCAGTTTGTAGGTTAGAAAGTCTTGGTGACTTTTTTCTTGCTCCCTTTTGCATTAGTGGAAAAAGGGAGGGAGGGGGAACGGAGAGGAAGGGAAGGAAGAGAGGGAGGGAGGGAGGAGGAAGAAGAAGAGAGAAAGGAGAGAAGAGAAGGAAGGAAGGGAAGACAAAGGGAGAGAAGGGAGGGGGGAGGGAGGGGAAGGAGAGGAAAAAGGGGAGGACGGAGGAAGGGAGGGAGAGAAGGAAAAGAAGAAGGAAGGCATGGAGGAAGGGAGGGGAGGAAGACAGGAAGGAAAGGGAAAGGGAAAAACGGGAGGGAGCGAGGAGAGAAAGGATTAGTAGTAAACGAGGTTTATTGCACTTTGAAGATTATCAAATTAGTTCAGAGAGAAGCTTTAGTGGGCCCCGGAACTTCCTTTCATTTGATTAAGAAAGAGGGAGATAAATCGCCCCTGCAGGTTCTCAAGAGCCAAGGTTGGAGAAGCGAAGAATATATTTTAATTTAGAAAGAACGACTTTTCCGCCTCTTGCAGAATATTTACCGATAATTCCTTTAAGGGTCCGGGGTCCGGTCCTTGTTCGTCAAATGGAGCCCCCTCCCCCAATCAGATTCCGAGTGGCTGGAAGGGGTGCTGTTGATTTCTCTCCCCTCCCCCATTTCCCCTCAAAAAAATTGGAACCCTTTTAGAAAAAAAAAGGTCCCCAGCAGGCACAGGCCATTCATATTGTGTCGGTCAAGGCATTCAGGAACGTTTTAGCTTGATGAAGTCATTTCCCCTTTCCCTATTAGAAAATTAAATCAGAATAAATTTGCATATCTCCAGAACCTCAGCAGAAAAACGGCTTCTGGGGACAAATTTAATCAGGCAAAAGCCCCCCCCCCACCTTTCGGACTTTCGAAGAAGTCGCTTCTTTGAATCCTCCAAAAGCAGAAATTTGGTTTTATTTCGTTCTTCTGAGTGAGATACCGTGGAGGCGAGCGAGGGGGGGGGCACCTTTAAACGCGGCTCCCTCTGTCTGAATGACTCGCCAAAGCTTCCCTCAAAATCCGTTGGCTCCTATTCAGAAGTCGGCCCAAACACGCGGGTGGCCCTGAGTTATTTCAGCAAAGGTTCACTTGGATCAAAGTCAAACTATGTTGCCCTAAAGATCTCCTCTTCGGGCTTCCGTGGCCTCCTCTTCTGGCCACTATCTGATGAAGCAAAGGTGTCCAGGAATCTAGAACTGGGTGGGCTGGATGGCCTCACTGGCTCCTTCCAGGCTAGGTTTCCTCTCTCTTATTGTCCTCATTGTCCTCTTGGCCCATCCTGTGAGGAAGACTACAAGCCGAAGGGGTTATTCATTCCCCCCACCCATTTCCCCCCCCCCCCTCCTGTTGCTCTTATAGTCGATCGGCCTGGGCTGCTGCCAGCGGAGAAGCTGCTCCGTTTTTAGCTCCGGATTAACCCACAGAGAGCTGTGGTTTTGCGTGGGTCCAAAAGGGCTCGCTCTTCTTCCAAGTGGCAAGGAGTCCCTCTGGAAGGCCTCCATCCCCCCCCCCGCTGCTGCCCCCACCCCTGTCTAATGTCGTCCCCGGGGAGGGGAGGGGAAACGAGTGACTCCACCCCACGCTCCCCCCCCCCCCTTGGGTTGGACTCGACCGGCTTCCCCCGACCGGCCTCTGTCCGTGGTGCTGACGGAGCGGCCGCTGCCCAGGAACCGGGGAGACGCTCGCGGTGTCTTTAAAGGGGAGGTTTCTGCGGAGGTTTTTCTCCGCCCCCCCTCCCCCCCCCCCGCCGCCCACCCCCCCCCTCCCCTCTGCATCTTCAGTGCCCGGCTGGTTGAGTTTCCCAAGAACGGGAGGCGAGCAAGATGGACGCGGGGAAGGAGTTGCGGCGGCGGCGGCGGGGGGGCCCTGGCCGGGAGCCCCCCAGTAGCACCGAGACGCTGTTGGCTCTGTTGGCGCGGAACCAGGAGGGCCGGACAGGTAAGGGGGGGGGGAGCTCGAGAGGAGAGGAAAGGCCCAATGGTTCTCAGTCATCCCGTCCAGGTATTCTGGCCCTGAACCCCCTCTTCCTGCCCCCCCACCCCGCTCCTGAGGCCCGTCACCTTCGCCCACTTCCAAGCAAAAATCCAGTTTGGGGGCAGCGGGGGTTCTTCGCACCCAGCCTCCAGTTCAGGACAGGACACCCCAAAATGAGCGAGGGGTCTGCAGCCAGGAGCTGGGGGGAGGGAGGGAATCAGAAGGGGACGGTTGGAATTGGGGCTGGGTAGACTCCCCTCACCCCACCCGTCTAAACCTCTCGACCTACCCGGGGAGAAGCAGTTCAGGAGCCCTGTAGAAAATTCGCCCCCCCCTCCCCCCCCTCTGGCGTCTTCTTTTATTTTGGGGTGGTGGACGGTGGGGGGAGGGGGGCAGGGAGAGGATTCCGAAGGGTGGATTAGATAATGGCAGATCAGCTCCGCGCGGTCAGGGATGCAGCGCGTCCCCAGTCCCCCCCACCCAGGAGAGCAGGTGGGAGTTGAGGGAGCCTCGTTAGTGGGCGGAGCGGGTCTCTTCAGGAGCCAGGCAGCAGCCGAGTAACTTTTTCCTGGGTGGGTGGGGAGCCGTGATCCCCCCACCCACAAAATTGGGTAGGGGGAGGCGTTTTCTCTTAGGGAGAACTTGGTCGCCGCTGCTGAGAACCAGAACATCCTGGAAAAGAAGGAAGGAAAAGGAAGGGAAGAACAGGGATGCCTGCCCCCCCCACCCCCCAGGACTTTCTCCTGGCACAAGGGGTTAAGGAAGGTCGGGGGGTGCTTGCCTTCCCTCTGCCCTACCCCCACCCCTTCCCAAAAGGGGGTCTCCTCATGGCCAGCCCCAGCTGGGATCTTTTGCGCCCAGCTGGAGGCCTTTTCTAAGCCCCGTTTTCCTTCCTCTGTTTGGCTTTTCCATCACTTTCTCTCTCTCTTCTTTCCTTCTTTCGTCCATCTTGTCTTCCCTTGTTTTTTCTTCAGCCTCAGTTCGATTTCCTACGTATTGCTTCGACTTTTGGCAATCAGTTAATCAACGAGTCGTCCTTGTGTTTGCTCTTTCCTTCTCTTTTTCCCTTTTCATCTTTCCTCATCCTCCTTTCCTTTTCCTAGACGGACGGGGGGGGGGGGGGGGGGGAAGGAGCTGGAAATAATAATAATTCCTCGCTCTTTTTGTTTTTCTTCTTAGCCTGGAAATAATAATGGAACTTTCTTCCATTGTAATTGACATGATTTGGAACTATTATTTGGATATGGAAAATTCTTCAGTAGGACACAACACGCGCGCGCACACACAAATTAAATTTAATGGCAGAGCAAGAAAAACGAGTTGACCATTTCTTAAAAGCTGCACAAAATGAAAACTGCCGCCGAAATGTCCCCTCCTCAGTTCTGCTGCTCTCTAGCCATTCAAACGAGTCCGTTTTTTAAAAAGTGAAGGTCGTCGACTTCATTGCCCTGATGTAACACACAAACCCTGAAATAACCAAAAGTAGGGGATTAACTCTAGGGACAGAGAATCGCTTTGTCGCCCTGTCCCCCCCACCCCCACCCCCAAGAGCGAAAATCCTATCATTGCGATACTGTTTATTATTGATTTATTATCATTTGTAAAGGCGGAGAAAGCATAAGGCGCCTGTTTTAGCTGGCCCTCCCGATGAACGCCCTTCAAAGGAGTTTAATTCAGCTTCAGAGCTGAAGAAGCTCCTTAGATGAGAAGCGAAACGTCTTCAGAGGAAAAACAAAGGAAGCCCAGTTGCCTCCTTGAAAAAGCACCTTGGGGGACAACCATGACCTGGAGGGCGGAGAACCGCCACAGACATTCTCTCCCTTCGGTCTGTCTCGGACCCTTTTCCAACCCGAGTCCCCAGTCCCGCGAGTCTCTCGATCCCCAAGTACAGAGGTTGCGCCTGGCGTGGGGGGGGCGGGACACCCGTTTTTTTTATCTCTTGAGAGCCGCACCAGCCGCGGTTGCAAACCGGAGAGGCCCGCGGGCTGGCTATCTAGGCCTCCTTGGCGGGCAGGGACGGGGTGAGATGCTGGGGAAAGCCCCCCACCCCTTTTTTGAAGCCTGATCGCCGCTGCGGGAGACGCGGAGCTTGGAAGAAGGCGAAAGGTTTCGAAGGTAGAAGGTCTCGGCTCCGACTTTAGAAGGATCCCGGCCGCCCAAAACTGGGCCTCCTCCTTCTTCTCTTCTTTTGGGCGGTGGCAATTTGGAGCAGAACTTTTCTCTGTCTTGCGGGGGAACAAGAGGGTGAAGGTGGAACGGTCTAGTCTCGGGGAAGAAGTCTTGATTCGATCCCTTTCTCCATCTTTCCCCTTCCCTTCCTCCGTCTTCCTCCAGTCCTTCAGAGGAGACCCCAGAGGCTTAAAACGCCCTTGAACCCCGCGTCCGTCGCACGCTTCCCTCTTTCTTTTCCCACCTCCCTCCTCGCAACCTCGGACTCCTTGCCCGGACTTGGGAGGAACCGCCGTTTGGGGGAAGGGGGGACCCCGTTCCGACTTTCCCCGCCGTTCCCGTGGGTCAGTGGCGCTGTAGGGCGGAGGATCTACCCTGACCGAATTTATCCTCGGAGCAGAGGCGGGCGCCTCCTTTGCATCCAACTGGGCCGTTCCTCCTTTGAAGTTCTCCCCTTCCCGCCTGCCAGCATCACCCTCGCCACCTTGGCTTGTAGAGACACTCCCAACATCAAGGCTACTTCAAGTGGTCAACAAATAAAGAACCTATATAAAACGGGAGAGTCTCTCTCGCGGCCCGACTCGAGCCAGGCCCGGCGCCGCGGAAAAAGCGCGCAAGCGGGTGGGAAGTGCATAAAATGGACATTAAATGCCTCCCACTTCCCAGTGTTCCACCCGGAGGAACTTGAGATGGGCTCTTGCCCCGGCCACGAGCTGGTGGGAGGGCTGAGAATCTCGTTACCCGGCCGGCCGAGCTCCCCAAGGGCTCCCGCGGAGCCTCTGCGAACAGTGTGGCTGCGCCCCAAAGGCAGGCGGGGCAGGAGGAAGAGGAGCTGGAGAGCAAGATCAGACCAGGGCGGAGGAGCCACGGCGCAGGACGGCCAGAAGCTTTGGATCGCTCAGGGCGCGACCTCTTTTCTTGGTCGGGATCCTCTGACCTGCGCTCAGGGGCAGAGGCCAGACCAGGAGGTAGGGCGGCCTTCCGTTGAGGAGCGCTGCGTTCCCTTTCCTCAGGGCCCCCCCCCCCCGCACACCCACACACACGAGCGTCCGGCCGGGTCGGATGACCGCCCACCTCTGACAGACCCCCCAGCCCAAAGCGGGGCGAGGCAGGCCTGGGGGACGCAGCCCCGACCTCTCGGTTCAACCGATTAAGCGTTGGTTCCCTTCGCCTTCGACCGACTCATCAGCGAAGGCTTCAGGTTGATTAATTTGCCTCTGGCCAGGCTTCACGTTGATTAATCTACCAGGGTTCAAAGTTGAGGTCGGTGATTAGGCGCCAAGCTTTCTTTCTTTCTTTCTTTCTTTCTTTCTTTCTTTCTTTCTTTCTTTCTTTCTTTCTTTCTTTC